TCTGCTCAAACATACGTCATCGCAACTGCAGGTGAACTGGTTCACAGCGTGTGTCAGAGACCGAATTCAGTTTCAGTTTTTACAACCCTTGACCATACACTTTCGTGCGCCGGTTTCGATTACTGTCTTCTGGCTGCCCATTTGGATAAAAGAACAGGATTAAGATTGCAACATTGAAAGCAAATTCAAACGGAAGATAGAATTCATATAGACTGCTGGTAAGAGAATAATGAATAGATGCATTAGCGCAACTGCTCGCGACAACCAGCCATATCGCTCAGTGTCTTTAACCATCGGTGACCATGACCTCGGGGTCCACAGCAAGGGAGCCTAACGGGAATTATGTGACACAGACTCCTGGTTAGGGTTTTCATATCCTCATGCCAGGTCTTCGTTTGACCACCTTGGACCTTCTTCCAACAGCTACCTGCCTCGAAAAACATCGCCCGCCGTGGCAACCTATCTGGTGACATGCGTAACTACCGTATTCGACTACTTGCTCCAGTGGACGACCGCGACTACCTAAAACTCTACGCCTAACCTCAACATTGCTCGTCCGGTTTCTCCACCAGACTCGTGCAATACGACGTAGACAGCGGTGTTCAAACACCGAGAGTCTATCTTTATCCTGTTACGTAAAGGCCAAGTTTATGCACCGTAGAGCAGCCCTGACCGAACTGCTGCAACATATGCTCGACCCTCCACAAACAGCCGGATGTCGCGACGGCGCCACATGTCTCAAGTTGGCAAATGCCAATCGAGTCTTCTGTACGCGAGCGGACACTTCATCTGCGATGCGTCCGCCAGGTGAGACTTAAGTACCCAAATAGCAAGCCTTGTCAACTTCAGCTACTACTGCCCCAGTCAGTGTGAGATTCTGGGCTAGACCAACGCAATCTGGTAGCAAGCTTTTACAGTTTGAAGGTGAAAAACGCATACCGAATATGGCTACACTAGCACTCAAACTATCCAGAACAGCTTGCAACTTATCTGGATCTTTACTTAGCAGCACTGTCATCTGCATACACAAGATCACACGGTCTCCCAACTAGAAGTAAATCTATACCGCTATCCTCGCAGGAGCATGGGGTTGTTTCAAGAATTAAACCTATCACGAAGTTACATAGAAACAGAGAGAGAGAGAGAGGGTAACCCTGTCGAAAATCAATTTCTATAGTAAACTCGGGCTCGGCTTCGGCTATTAGTATAAAGCGATTATAAGATTGGAATAAAGTTCTCGGGCACAACCTTTAGAACGAAACAGCACCAGTTGACTGAGTCGAAAATCGCTTTCAGATCAAAGTAAATGGAAATGATGGGTCTACAAAAGGAGTGTCTGTGTTCCAGAATTTGACCAAAAGTGAAGATGTGGTCGATACAACTTCAACTAAATCTAAAACCAGCCTGGTTCTCATGTGTGCACTCTTCACGTGAGGCAGATAATCGACGGAGTATAATACCAGGGAGGATTTTAGAGACGATGTTGATTAACCAATCACGACTAGACTACACTGCGTGGTGTGATGGCTTGCGTGCCTCCATGACCCGGTGAGCTATACAGGATGGATCTTCACAGCCGCAGATCAAACCATGCCTGAAGAGTCAATGGGTAGAGGCCAGACGAAGATAAGTCTCACGATACCAGCTGCTTAGGGACCTCCAGGCTTCCTTTGACTACACACTCTCTCCCCTGGAGAGGTGACTCCAGCAAAACCACGGGAAGGGGTAGTTTAAGATCAAAAACCCCGCTAAATTGATGTAGGGGCGGAATACCGGGGCTTCCTCTCGACGGTGGTAGAAGTCTTCGTACTTCATTGGACAGCTACAACCCGCCCAAGCTGGGCAGCTCCCAGCCAATAAAGTGCTGTCCCGTCCACGTTCCGCTTGTCTCATTGGCTGCATGAAGCTAAGGGCTGATCCCGAAAAGCGGACTGATAATCAACGCACCAGCGAACAACACAATCAATCGAAATTCAAAGGCCTTGACAGGTCTCCAGGAGCTCCTACACGGGTGCTTTGTTCACGCTCCCGTGTTGGATTTACGCCCCACTGCCTTGTGGGTCAGACTCTCGAGTCAAAGGC